GGATAGGAGACTTACAAATGAAAACTTGCATAACCCAGGATTTAAAATGTTGAAGAACATGGGCTATCAGAGGGGAAAAGGTTTAGGAAAATTTCTTCAAGGAAATCCTAACCCAGTATCAGTAATGGAAAAACAGAGAGAAAAGGGATAGGATGTCAGGATTTCTGATGAGGGTCATTGATACTTCTCCTCCGCCCACTGCCTTTACCATTAGAATGGCTCAGTGAAAAACCTGTATGGGTGAATCAATGGCCCCTATCTCAGGAGAACCTGATGCAACTTCAGCAGCTAGTAAAAGAACAATGGGATGCCAGACACATAACCCTGGAATTCTCCAGTGTTTGTTATTCCAAAAAAGTCCGGAAGATGGCGACTACTACATGATTTAAGAGCTATTCATGTACACGTAAAACTGATGGGTGCCTTACAAAAAGTTTTACCATCTCCAGCGGCTATTCCAAGAGACTGGCCTCTTGTATAATGGATCTTAAGCATCGTTTCTTTACTACACCCTTACACGAGAAGAATAAGCCTGTTTTGCCTTCTCTGTGCCTTCTATTAACCAAAGAGAACCTGTTTCCTATTATCAATGGAGAGTTTTACCCCAAGGCATGCTTCACAGGCCTACACTGTGTCAGCATTTTGTAGGACAGGCATTCAAGGAGCCTCGGAATATGTTTCCTACCGCTTATGTCATTCATTTTATGGATGATATTCTTTTGGCCGCTCCTACAGATCGAAACCTACATCAGTTATTCAGAGAAACGAAGCAGGCTCTGACTAAAGGGAATCTCAAAATAGCTCCAGAAAAGGTACAAACAACTTCCCCAGACCAATATTTAGGAACGATTGTTACAGAGAGAAGTGTACCAACTCAGAAAGTAGTTCTCCGTAAAGACAGGTTACAGACTTTAAATGATTTTCAGCAATTATTAGGAGATATTAATTGGCTACGCCCGATGTTAGGTATTGCCACCTATCAACTTACACATCTTTACCAAACCCTGCAAGGAGAGTCTTCCTTCAATTCCCGGCAGCAACTAACTAAAGAGGCAGAAGCCGAATTACAGCTTGTAGAGCAAATGTTACAACAGAGATATGCCTCATGGCTACAACCACAAAAACCTTTGCTTTTGTTTATTCTTCCTACCCCCCACTCTCCAACAGGACTTTTGGGCCAGTTCATAGACAAGTCTGTAACAGTGATAGAATGGTTCCTTCTATCTAATCAAACAGTCAAAACCTTGCAAGTTTATCTTTCTTTAATTACACAAATTGTAACTATGGGCAGGCATAGGTCACAAATGCTTACGGGATATGATCCTGACAAAATTATTGTTCCTTTAGACTCCCAGCAACAAGCTGCAGCTTGGGAAATGAAGACTGCCTGGCAAACTGCGTTCGCAGACTTCATGGGTGCTATAGATAACCATTACCCTCAGACAAAATTTTACGTTTAATAAAATCCATTCTTTCATTCTTCCTGTTATTACTCATCACTAACCTATTCCAGGTGGGCACACTTGTTGTACTGATGGCTCTTCCAAAGGTCATGCCACTATCTATGGACCAAAACATACTCAAACAATAACGATCTCGGGTTTCAGCTCAACGCTCAGAGCTAATTGCAGTCAGCTGCGAGGTTTTACAGCTCACAGCTTCAGATCCTATCAACTGCAGGGAGACGAAGGCCCGTGGGATGTGAGCAACTCAGCATTCCGCTGGAGGCTATGTGATCAAACAGCAAACTGTTTATCATGAATGCAGGATGTGGGCAAACTCACACTGCCCTGCCACCAAAAGGTCTGCGGAGGGCCTCACTCCCTGGCTCCTTGAAGTTATCTATTGAGAGTTATCTATTGAGAAATCTAGCGCCTATTGTTTTAAGAATGCAGTCTTGCAAGCCTGCTGTGAATCAAGCTGCTGGCCAACACCCCCACCCCCCCCCCGCCACTTCTCGCTATCTCTTTTGCCTAATAAATACGGAGGGCTGTGTAAAGCTCAGGGCCCTTGTCCACTAGAGGCAAGCTGCCCCCTGACCCCTTCTTCCAAATATACTCTTTTATCTCTTGCCTTTATTCCCACGCTCGCCCCCTTCGTTCACTCCACCAGGGACCATGGCAGGCTACAATCAACATTGTCAACCATAAAGACAGGTTGCAGACTTTACATTATTTTCAGCAATTATTAGGAGATATTAATTGGCTACGCCCGATGTTAGGTATTGCTACCTATCAACTTATACATCTTTACCAAACCCTGCAAGGAGATTCTTCTTATTCAGCTTATGTTGTAAATGTAGCCAGTCGCATAGAAACTGCTACAGTTGAAAGTACACTAGGCCCAGAACTGCTTAATTTGTCTCGCTTATTCTCATATGCTGCATGCTACATGCCAAACAGGTGAGACAGCTGGTCATGCACAGTGACATTGTCTGTCATCATTTGCTCTTGTGGGGATACCTAAACAATTAAAAACTGACAATGGACCCACTTATACTAGTCATGCTTTTCAAAATTTCCTACAGCTTTGGGCTCTAACCAATAAAACCGGAGTTCCTTATAATCCTAGAGGACAAGGCATTATAGAGCAGGCACATCAAGCATTACACTGCATGTTGAAAAGACAAAAATGGGGTATAGGAGGCCAACTACCACCTCAATCAAAACTACATTTAGCCTTATTCACTTTAAAATTTCTGACTCCTGGTACGGATGGTAAGACTCCAGCAGAAAGACATTGGCAAGTGTTAGAGGAAAAGAGGAAAGTTTATCCGAAAATGTTATGGAAATCCCCAGAAGAAGAACAATGGAAAAGCCCGGTGGATTTACTGACATGGGGAAGAGGATATGCTTGTGTTTTACAGGAGATGGACAAGCTGTGTGGGTGCTCTCAAGGTGCGTGCAACCATGGAATGGGAGACTGGAGGGACCCAGGGTGGCCAACCATGGGCCCAGTCCCTCCGGTACGAGCCATGAGTCAGCTGAGCCTGAGTGCAGAGATGGAGAGAAGGCCGACTGGAGTCACGACACAGTCTTAATGTTACATTTGTAAAGAATATCACCAGTTTGCAGTTTGTGTTTTTAATACTTATGTCTTTTTGGCAGCTAAGAACGACCAGTTCCAGGTAAACAATAACCAGTTGACCTGTAAAGCTTGCCAGTTGTATCATTGCATTAATCATAGCACATTGCGAACACATAGTATCTCTACATTGATCATTTTAGGTCGCATCCCTGGGCTGTGGATTCCTGTTAATCTGTCCAAGGCTTGGGCTGCCACACCTGCTTTGCATTTTGTGAAACTTCTTCTAACTCAGCTTACTCATTGTGCCCATAGAGCCTTAAGCATAATAATTTTTGTTATCGTTTCCTTGGTCACACTAATAACTTCTGTTGTGATGTCCTCTGTAGCTTTGCATAATTCTGTTCAAATGGCTCAGCACGTAGAGAACTGGACACGTACAGACAAGCGTGGCTACTTCAGAATAAAGTTAACACTGAGTTACAAACTGAAGTGGCAATGTTGAAATCCACGGTTCTGTGGTTAGGGGAACAAGTACAAAGCTTGCAGTTGCAGCAGCAATTGTGTCATCATTTTAATCACACTCATATTTGTGTAACCAACTTAGAATACAACCAAAGTGAGTATCCATGGGACCTTGTGAAAGCCCATTTGCAGGGAGCTTTCACATCCAACCTCACCTTTGATATTGGTGAATTACAAAACAAAATTCTTCATTTAAATAGGCAAACTCAAGAATTTCAGCCTTCTTTAGAAGACTGGACCAAATTCCAGGAAGGCCTGGAGAGCCTCAACCCTCAGACCTATCTAAAGTACCACAGTAACATCTTACATGTAGTTCTTGGAATTATGTTGTTTTATCTCTATCTTCTATTTATAGTCTGTAAAATCGGATGGACCGCCAATTGGAGTATGAGAACCGCCCAGAAAGGGAGATATGCAGGGAGCTGAAGGCCCATGGGACGTGACCAACTCAGCATTCCACTGGAGGCTATATGATGAAAGAGCAAATTGTTTATCGTGAATACAGGATGTGAGCAGACTCACAACTGCTCCTGCCGCCAGAGGTTTGCAGAGGGCAGTTGCTTCCTGGCGCCAAGCTCTTTGAAGTTATCTGCTGGGACATCTAGAGAATGTAGTCTTGTAAGCCTACTCTGGACCAACCAGCTGACCTCTTCTTCCACCCCCTTTCTCACTATCTCTTTTGACTAATAAATATGGAGGGCTGTGTAAAGCTCAGGGCCCTTATCCACTAGAGGCAAGGTGCCCCCTGACCCCTTCTTCCAAATATACTATTTTGTCTTTTGTCTTTTATTCCCACGTTCACCCCCCTTTGTTCAGTCCACCACGGATCATGGCAGGTTACATAGTGGCACCCCGAACAGCGAGATAATCGAGTGCTCAACAGATCCTCATGTATAATTTGAGCCCCAATGTAAAGTCCATAAATTTTTGTCAATTTGAGCATTTTTGCTGTTGTTGAAGTTAAGTTAGTACCTATGTTGTAAAGGCACAAAACCAAATCAGTGCATTTTTATCTTTTTGTTATATAGATTTTTTGGTATAAAAATTAATATATGAATTTTGAATTCCCAAACAAATCAAATTGTAAAACTTTATTTTGATGCGGTTATATATTAAATGTACATAATCCACCTATTTGTCATATATTTACATGAAAATATATGCATATATACATATGATGTATTGAATTTCCTTTTATCACCCTCCCATTAGAAGTTTGTTCATAAATCACTAAGTATTCTAGGGCTAGGATTATGTTTCCTAGAACTGGATTCTGCTCAGTACTTAAAGTTCTTCTTTTTTTTTTCTTGGACTCATGACTGTGGTGTAGAACTGGAAACTGTGTCAAGGGTGACTGAATCCTGAGCCTCATATGAGAAAATTAAGCTTGTTTTCAGACTGGATGCTGAGGCAACAGACCCTTATAAGCATTCACTGCAGTGAAGAAGAGTGATGAATGTTGGGTAGGCAGCTGTCAGTCTTGGCCAGAATTATGCCTTCGGGTACTCAAGATCCCTTTACACTCTTCTCCCAAATAGAAGAAGTAGAGCCATCCTTCCCAAGGATGATATCCCCAACGTTTTATGTTGAAGTTTCTTTGTGATAACTGTCCCATAACTTAAAAGAATACTCAGATTCAAAGCCCCAATATACCACGATGCAATGAGAATTGTGAATCCACAATGGAAACTCCTAATGAGGAAAAGAAAAACGGGGAGATGCAGCAGGCACTGTTCTACTGCAATTAACCAAGGCCAGTGGGAAGGAATAGTAAGAATCTCCTGTCCTGACAGTGGAGGAAGTCTCTTAATTAGCCCATCTGGAAGCCCTGGCTCTCTTATCTAGAAGTCACACACTGTCCTTCATGGCTCCTGACTTTCTCTCTCGCATTTTTTTTCATTGTTCCTCATTTTCTATGGCCACAACTTAGTTGGGCATTAAAGAATATACTTTTTTTTTTTTTTTGAAATTAAAAGCATTTATAGGAGTCAAAAGTGTGAATGAAATGGGCAAACTGCTCTGCCTTGGAAATGCACAGAACTCTAGGGAAGACAGGAGAAAAATGAGTGAGTAAAGCAGTGGAGTGAGAGAGGACATTGATAACAGGACTCCTTGATCTTCTTGTTGAGTGGTGTCTTTTGCCAGTGCATTAGGAAAGTATGTTACACAATACAAAAATGACAATTTCTGAGTGTTTACGTGGAGAAAGCAAAGTAAAGGGCTGAGTTATGAGCTGGTTGATTTAAATACAAAGTCATTAGGCAGTGGTTAGCGAGAGTACTCTATTGAAGCGGAAACTCAAAATTTAAGGTGTTCATGAAAATGGAAGCCACCTGGGAATTTATAAATATTGTGCACATGAGGATGAGAATTTACTAGACATGACTTGGTTCACGTTATGAGGGCTGGAGATAATTTTAGACATCAAATGTTTCTCACCTAAATATCTAGGTGACACTACTATTTATTGATTCATTAATTCAGTATTTATTGAGTGTCTACCACATGTCAGACACTATTTTACACATAGGGGGTGAGGATCCATCTGTAAGCAATACAGACCACAATCTTTGCCCTCAGATAGCTTACATTCTTATTATATGAAAGGAACCATGTGAAGTTTGTATACAGTTGTTATCCCACTTCATGCCAATAAACTTCATGGTAGGGATGAAATGGCCAAATTTCTTGAAAATAATAGTTTACCAGAAGTGAAAGATATGAAACAGAAAACTGAACAATGTAATAATTGTTAAAGAAATTAAACCTATATTTAAAATCCTTCCCAGAAAGAAAACCCAAGACCCAGTTGGCTTCATGTAAATGTTTTTAAAAAGTATTTTTAATAAACACTTTTTATATATTTTGAAGCCAGGTGTGGTGGCTCACGCCTGTAATCCCAGCACTTTGGGAGGCCGAGGCGGGCAGATCACTTGAGGTCAGGAGTTCGAGACCAGCCTGGCCAACATAGTGAAACTCCATCTCTACTAAAAATTAGCCAGGCATAGTGGCGTATGCCTGTAGTCCCAGCGACTCGGGAGGCCGAGGCATGAGAATCGTTTGAACCCAGGAGCCAGAGGTTACAGTGAGCCGAGATTACGCCACTGCACTCCATCCTAGGTGACAGAGTGAGACACTGTCTCAAAAGAAATTTTTTTTGAAAATTAAAAAAGTTTAAGTGTAACAGTGTTTAAAAAGATATAATACTACAGAAGAGAATCAGAAAATCATTTTCCAACTCCATTCAGGAGACCATTAGGAGTGGATGTAAAACCTAACAAGGACAGTAGAGAAAAGTGAAATAACAGAATCATCTTTACATAAACATAAATACAGAAATTCTAAACAAATCTAGAAGATCAATTACAAGTATCTAAGATATATCATGAGCAAGCGTGATTCATTTCAGAAACGCAAGGGTAGTATAACATTGAAGAATTCATCAACCTAATTTGTAATGATGAAAATGAAAGAATAAAAATAATCATGTTAATATTGGCAGAAATTACATTTAAAAAAATTTAACGTCCATTCATAATTTAAGTAACAGAAGAAGAAAACTCTTAAAAAGTAAGGATAGAGGACACCTTCAATAATCTGATTAAAAAGAGAAACATACAAAAAGGTGACAGCAAACATTATACTTAAGGGTAAAGTAATTAAGTTTTCCCTTTAATATATACGATCTCATCTAAGCCTGACAAATCCCCACCACTCTTTCTGTTTTCTTATAGTTTTTTTGCACTTCCAATTACCCTAGGATACAGGCTGAGGTCCAGAAATTAGAAATGACAGCCACAATAGCCTCATTTTCTATTTCTTACTCTCAAATCAGGTGGCACAGAAGTGTTTTTTCCTGATTAAAAACTTGATCACTCATCCTTGAAGGGCTTAATATGACTGAAGGGTAGATGAAGCTGGAACTGGCATGAGGGTAGCATGAGAAAGAGCTAAAAAATATCCCTGACCCCCTCCTCACATTGCCTGTAACTCCACCTCTGCAGGAGGTGAAGCAGTGTTTGTAGCTCTGTCACTGGTCTGGGCTGAGGGGTTGAGGCAGCCCTCAACAGCCCGTCTGCTGTAGTCATCCATCATAAGGCATTTTTAGGAAATTCTTTTTTTTAGATTTGGGAACAGGAAGAACTTTTGGGTTGCTAAATGGAGATGTGGTGTCGATAATCACGCTTTTATTAATCAGGTTTTGTATAATACATTTTAATCCTTGAAGGTGCTGTTTCAACTTCTGTTGGGCTGTAATAAATTATCTTAACTGTGGGACTAAGGGGCCCCATTTGATCAAGCCAATTTGTAAGTGCCAAAAGCTTACTTTAATTTTAATTTGTTATTAATTGTGTCACAGAGTCTGCATCCAACATGGAATATTTTAGAGCAATGACTGTATGACTATGGGAAATTTAGGTGACACTACAGATAAAGTGAGGTCTACTCATTTTTCAAAATTTTAGTTAGCTTCTCAAGATTATGGGGGTAGAGTAAGTAAATTTAATGGGATCCCGATGTACTACTATAAGTTGAGTCCCACTATTAAGTCCATAAATTTTTGTCAATTCATGCGGCTGGAGCACAATCTCGGCTCACTGCAACCTCCACCTCCCAGGTTCAAGCAATTCTCCTGCCTCAGCCTCCCGAGTAGCTGGGATTACAGGCACCTGGCATCACGCCCGACTAATTTCTGTAACTTTTAGTAGAGATGGGTTTTCACCATGTTGGCCAGGCTGATCTCGAACTTCTGACCTCAGGTCATCTGCCCACCTCGGCCTCCCCAAGTGCCGGGATTACGGGCGTGAGCCACCGCACCTGGCCACTAATGTTAAAAGTTAAGTTAGAACCTATATTGTAGAGGAACAAAAGCCGATCAGTGTCCTTTTTGTCTTTTTTTCATATAAACTTTTACTACAAAAATTAATATATGGATTTTGACTTTCTAGTCAAATCAAATTATAAAACTGTTTCAATTTGGTTATATATTATGTATACATAATTTATCTATTATATATTTACATTAAAATATATGCATATATAATGGATTTAATTTCCTTTTGTCACCCCCATATCTAGAATTTTCTTCATAAATTGGTAAGTAATCTAGGGCCAGCATTATGTTTGCTAGACCTGGTTTTGGCTCAGCACTTAAAGTTAAAAGTTTCTCTCTTTTTTCTTGGACTTGTAGCTGCCTAGAGCGTCAGTCTCTCTGTTATTTTTTTCCATTTTGTTTTTTCCCCCATCAGTCTTTTAGCCATTTGAAGCCAAAATTCTTAGTTTCTGCCCTGGTTGATAAGAAAAAAAGGGGAAGGAGGAAAAGGGCCCGGTGCCACTAAATAGTCACCTCTCTCTGGGAAGGACCCCATTACAAGACAATGAGTCCCTCTCCTCTCTTTTTTTCTATTTTCTGTAAAATCTTTAAAATGGCTTGCATTTCTAGGCATCTAATATTTATACACTTTTTGTTTCCTATCCTCACTCTCCGGATGTTTACTGGACAAGATCCCAGTGGTATGGAGTAGCACTCTGCTCTTTTCACTTTACACATTGTTATCAAAAAAGGAAAAAAAATAATGGTAATGAGAGTTAGTCCAAACTGTACCACTTTGTAAGCCCGCCACCATTTTGCAGACCTTGATCAAAGTGAAACATTCCACGGGATTTCGGGCCATGAGAAACATCCTCCTAATCACCTGACCACGAGGCAGAAGAACATCCTTATCATACCCGGCCGGGCAAAGGCCCAAGGCGTGTCACCATCACATTCTGCAGGAACAAGTGCCAAACCGCCTCATCATGGGAACATGTTATCAACATTTTCCCAGGCAACAGGCCATGCCCCGCTTCCAGACCTCCCCACCCAGGCCTGTAATTGCCCAAGCCTGTAAGCAGTGGTGGGCACTGGCACCGCTGCAGGTTTATGCTAGACGTAAATGCCTGCATTTGCTGGTGAGATGCTCTCTGTCTCTTCGAGTGTCTTTCTTTAGCCTCACTTTCTCTTCAAAACCGAACAATGAGTTCCGCTTGCACCGGCCTTGTAGGCAGCTGCTTCTCTTTCCAGGGTGACCCGATCGACCTCTGAGGGGCTGGGAGAATGAGAAGTGATAGCACCAAGGAATGCAGCAACCAAGGAGGCGCTGGCCTCAGCAGCACCTGTTCTCGCAAGGTGTCCTGGGGACTCAGGTACGGTTGCCCTGTCACAGGTTAGAGTTAGGCGATTGGATCCTTTCACCCGCCTCCCCTACACTGACACAGTGAAGCCAGCATTCTGTCATCCTCTTCAACCTCACTATGGCGGAATCGCTGCTCCCCAGGAGCCTGGTGGCCCATGGCCCTATCGTCAGCAAGATGGAGGTAGAGCTGAGGATAGAGCCACAGCTACCAGGTGGCCAGCTCACCATCCTGACCAGCTCTCTCTGGCCAGAGGCCAGTGCTTTGCAACTTAGAGCCAATACAGGCCGGACCACTACCGAGGCCGTAGGTCACCAGAGAAGCAAGTATGGCTCAAGGGGCAACATACCCTCCAGTAGTGACCCCCCTGTCAGGGGCCTGATCCCAGAAAGGGTGTCTGATGTCCCACAGGGAAACACCCTCATTACGATAGGATCTGCCCTCCAGCAGCTGCTGGGGAGCCTGAAGCCTCAGAGAGCCGTCCACAGCCACTGGAATTTCTGGAGAATCTCCAAGGTAACAGCTGAGGACAGCAGTACTAAGCTGCACGAAGCAGCAAAATCAAGCACCAGCAAGCAGTAGTGCCATCCCAGACTGACTGGGCAGGAAGTGTGTGAGTCATCCACAAACACAGACACTGGGATTGTGTCCAAGACACAGCCAAAAGCCTGCCTGGTATGCCAGTGGTATTAAATGAAGCTCTTCAAGTTTCTCTATCAACTCAGCTGATAGTGACCGTCCTCAGCAGCCACCAGAAGCCAGGACAAAAGAGCATCAGGAGGGGATCCACCTGCCCAGGTCTCGTTCGGGCAACCTCGCATCGCGGGTCAGATTGTGGGCGCAGCTTCAATGATGCCACCACAGTGTTAAAGTTTGAGAGGTTTTAGTATTCACAGACCCTGGGAGGTACATGAGACATCCAGAGGCCACACTCAGAGGAGCAAGAGAACAGGCAGGAAGAGAGCTGACGGGGGTGGCAACTGGCAGTGGGAGTGGGGTGTGGCGCACTTCAAGTTCAGGGGCAAATGTCTGTAATGGTTCCCTTTTTTCCTCCATCGCCCAGGCTGGAGTGCAGTCGTGTGATCTCGGCTCACTGCAACCTTCGCCTCCTGGGTTCAAGTAATTCTTCTGCCTCAGTCTCCCCAGTAGCTGGAATTACAGGCGACCACCATCATGCCCGGCTAACTTTTTGTATTTTTAGTAGAGATGAGGTTTCACCATGTTGGCCAGGCTGGTCTCGAACTCCTCGGCCTCCCAAAGTACTGGGATTACCGGTGTGAGCCACCGTGCCCAGCCAAGCTACGGTGATTTTCTATGATCGTGAAAATTTGAGAATCTTCCCACCGTGGGCTATTTAACCTCTTTGAGCAATTATCTAGCACTTGTTTACATCTAATACTCATAATAACACGGTGAGGTAGCCATGATTATCCCTTTGTTACCAGGGAGAATCCATGCCCCAGGGACCTCTGTCGTTTTTTCAGCATCATGCCCAGCCAATCAGTGCAGGCAGCAAGATTTGAAAACCAGACTGAACAAGCCCAGAGCCACTACCTTTGCACGCTCAAGCGCTGCCACTGAAAGGCGTTCTCCCAAAATTACCAGGATAGGGTCCTGCCCTCATATGATAAATTTTTTCTCCTACTTCTTTTACGCATTTCCTCCTTTTTTCCCTGTCATTACCAGTCACTTTCACTGAGGTCTTCCAAGGGACATTGTTTACTGTAGCTCAGGGTTTCTCAACCTTGGCACCAATGGCATTTAGGGCTGGTTAATTCTTTGTTGCGGTGGACTGGTCTGTACACAGTAGGATGTTTAGCGGCACCCCTGGCCTCTATCCATAGATGCCAGTAGCAACTCCTCATTCAGGAGTGAGAACCAAAAGACATTATCAAAGATCCCTTGGGAGGCAAAATACCTCCCCACCCCCTCCCCCTGCCAGTTGAGTATCACTGTGACCGTGTAAAGAGTACCAGGCTCTGGAGTCAGTTAAATCTCTACTATAATCTTATCTCTGACACCTCGACAGTGTAAATTCTTGATCAGTGACATCTCTTTGAGCCCCTGTTTTCCCCTCTGCAGAACTGAAATGGTTTTTTGATGAAGACTGATTTTCAGGGGAGGATTAAATAACAATAGACATGGACAGGAGGCTGAGGCAGGGGAATCGCTTGAACCTGGGAGGCGGAGGTTGCAGTGAGCTGAGATTGAGACTGCAGTACTGCACTCCAGCTTGGCAACAGAGCGAGATTTCATCTCAAAAAAAAAAAAAAAAAAAAAAGAATAGACATGGAAATCGTCTAGGATAGATCTGTAAATCTATAACAAATTAGAACCCTTAGCCCTCACCAGGCTGTGTGATGTGTTGTGGGGTGCAATTCCGAATCCTGCACTATGAAGCTCAGGGTCGGGACAAGAACGATGCTCATAGCAATAGTAGCTTCTACTTATGAACCTTAATCCACACACCAAGAGCTTCTCCTGTAACCCTCACGACTCCTCTCATAGACTCTGCGGATGGGTTGTGTTAATATGTGTAAGCACTGAGCACATCCTGAGACACAGTGAATATCGATTAATGTTAGTTCTAATTCGTGTAACCATTGTACAGATGAGAAAGTTAACACTTAGATTGAGGTGGGATGTGGTGAGGGACAAAAGACCATTTTTTATACCAAAAAAAAAAAAATGAAAATTGTATTTCTACTAGATCATTCTATCACATAATCACACCCCTTCTCTTTGAAGAGAAACCTCCTTTGAACCATATTTCTTTCCAGCTTCAACCCTATTCAGCCAAATGACCTCTCTGTCAGGGGAATTTTCAGTCAGACATCCAAAGATAATGTCTCTAATTCCTCCTTTTTCTTCCTCGCCTCAGCTGTTCTCCGTAATCCACTCCATATTGACTCTGTCCTTAGCACTCCACCTAATGCATTTTCCCAAGAATGCTTATGACCCCCAGGCTGCCAACTCCAGTGAGTCCTTCTCAGTTTTTATCCCGATATCCCAGTGACACAGGACCCATTGGATCACTTTCTCCCTTTTCAAACACATTTTTCCTATGCCATGCGATATATCCAAGAGATACGTACACACAATACACTCTTGGTCTTCTCTACAGCTCAATTCACTTCCTCTTTTCAGTCCAATTTACTGGTGTTTTCTATTCTAAATTTGACTCCAAATGTTGGGGCATCTCACATTCTATAAATGATATCATCCAGTCTCTGGGATTAAACCATTGTGTGTCTTTTCATCTAAATTATCAGCCGTGGCCTCTAGCTGGCACTCAAGTTTGATAAAACCTCTCCCCATGGGAGTCCCATAGACACTCCAAACCTCACATGGTTTTACCAAACTGTTGATGTTCTCTGCCTCCCAAACCTGCCATTCTTCCAATATTCTGTATCTATTTGGAGATTAAACATTCAGTTGTTAAAGCTCCAGATTTAGAACTCACCTTTTATTTCTCTTTTCCTCACCACCCAACGTCATCCACGTCTTATGCATTCTATCTACAGAACATGCTGAATGCCCAGCCAGAACTATTGCCATCTCCATGGCCCTCTCAGGCTTGGATATTTGCGCAAACCTTGCAAATAGCTTTTTCCTGGTCCTGCTGCCCCCTCCCCTAAGATCCATTCTCCAGACAGAAACCAAATGAGCTTTAGAAAGGTCCAATAAGATGGTGACATTATTCTCCATACCTTCCGATGGCTTCCAGACTTCTAAGTTACCCTTATCTTAGGTTCCTTTATTCACTGCCACATGTGCCCTGTGCATCCTTCAAACCTCATCTCTGCACTCTCTCACTGGGCTCCACCCACTGGGCTCTCGTTCCTTGAACTTGCAGCTCATTGTCATCTCAGGGCCTCTGCCTTCTCTGTTCCTTCTGACTACTGTGCTCTTCGTCTTGAGCTTCCCGCACCTGGCTCATTCTGAATATTCATATTTCAGGTCAAATATTGTTTCAGAGAGATCCCGCCTGACCCACTCTGCAAAGCAGAATGCCCAGGTGCAGCCTATCTCACCAGGTACTTTTCTCCTTTATTTGTTGTTCATTTATTTTCTCTCTTAAATACCCTCCACACTAGTACGTAAGATCCACAGGACTACCAAAATTCTCCAGTGCTACGTCTTTAGACTAACACTGCCCGATAGAAATAATGTGTTAACTTTAGCCACATATGGGACTTACAACTTTTTTGTAGCCATTATTTTTTTAAAAAAGTAAAACACCTTTGGGGAAATTATTTTAGTAATACATTTTATTTAATTACATACATGATAAAGAATTGGCCAGGCACGGTGGCTCACACCTGTAATCCCAGCACTTTGGGAGACCAAGGCGGGCAGATCACAAGGTCAAAAGTTCAAGACCAGCCTGGCCAGCATATTGAAACCCCGTCTCTAATAAAAATACAAAAAATTAGCAGGGCATGGTGTCAAGTGCCTGCAATCCCAGCTGCTTGGGAGGCTGAGGCAGGAGAATCGCTTGAACCCAGAAGGCAGAGGTTGCAGTGAGTTGAGATTGTGCCACTGCACTCCAGCCTGGGCGACAGTGCAAGACTCTGTCTCAAAAAACAAACAAACAAACAAAAAGAATATTACTGAAACATGTAACCAAATTAAACATTGTTAATGAAATGGTTAACATTGTTTTCACACTAAGTCTTCAAGCATACTATGTGCATTTTTATCCATACAGCACAACTCAGGTCAGACTAGGAACAGCAGGAGATCAATAGCCATGTGTGAGAAGTGGATTCTTCACCGGACTGCACTACTCCAGAGTTAGAAGGGCTCTGTCAAATAGCAGGCATTTCAACAATAACTTTAAAATTTTCAGACCCCAACTTACCACCAGCTGAGATCCTTTTCCTGTGCCCAGCTCCTGGATTCTTGTGGAGCAACTCAGGCTCTAAGGACTTGTCAAAAGATGAAGTTACACATTTGGTTTTAAGATCTTAATTGGCTTTGTTTGTAATGATAGAATCAGACAGCCTTTCATGCTATAAAATAACATGAATATTTTGATGGTTAGAGCCGAGAAAGTTGGTTTTATAGGGACAGGAGGGCTAAAGAAAGCAGAAACAAGAACAAAAAATTGATTCGTCATTTGGACGTTGCATTTTTCTGTGCGGCAGGAATAGAGAAACAGCAATAAGGAACAACTGATTGATTGAAGTCAAATTACCACAGATTACTTTTTTTTTGTTTGGTAAAGATGAAAGCAGAGAGAACTTCATTTTCATGCCCACTGAAACTGGCCTGTTTTAGGAATTTGTCCATTTTCTCTCTCTCCTGATTTCTCAAAAGTTCAGGTAAACAAATTAGTTTTGGTTTGGTGATGTGGAGTTTTAGTATGACTGACTCCATTTGGTTTGCTCTGTAGAATCTAGTGCAGTAGGTCAGTCCAAACCACTTACTTCCTGTTTTTATAGAACAGGTTTCAGCAGAGACGTAGTTGAAGGACACAGGGACAATGGAGCTGGAATCAACCCTGACACAAACGCGGGGTTTCTTACCCTTCCCAGAAGACACCTTGGAGATGTTGTCAGACCATTTCACTTAGAAACTTATGTGTCTGAATGTTCCTTCACCTCCAGCCCTCTGTGGGAGACCGGAGTCCATCCTTCCAAATATGAAAGGCCAAGGAATCTGAGAGTCCAGGCCCTTTCTTTTCAGAGATTCAGGAAAATGAAGGAAACCATTACCAAGGTGAGAAGAATGAGAGGACAACAATAAATATCAAAGATGCATGGTTAAACAAAAACTCGATTCTCTACTTTCACAATCCTTCTGACCAAATGTAGTTTTTCTCCACACCAAGAAATTCTCCAATTCTCTGGGGACATCAACTGGGCCACCTGCAATTAAAAATTCAGTTCTGATTCTGTCTACCTGGATTTATCATCAGATCTCAAGAGTTAAAGGGCTCACTCCCACAAACTCTTCTCACATCAGATGTCTGTTGCAAGTCCCAAGTGACCACTTGTACTTCTGCCTGACAGGTTATAAACTGGGTGTTCCAATGACACCAATAAATTGCTAGAATGGCACGTAGAACTCAGGAAAGCACTTTGTTTATGTTTGCTGCTTTATATAAAGCATACACCTCAGGAATAATCCATTGGAAAGAAGCATATGGCAGGTATGTGGCAGGGGAGGGGTTGGGTGGCACATGGAGCTTCCTTGCTCTCTCCAGGCAGCCATTCTCCCAGCACCCCTAAGTGTTCACCAATGTGGAAACTCATCAAATCTCACTGTTCAAGAGTTTTTATAGAACTCCATCTCCAGTCCCTGCCTCCCCTTCCTGGAGGTCAGTAGGTGGGGCCGACGGCCCCAACCCTCTAATCCCTTGGTCTTACTGGTGACCAGTCCCATCCAAAGGCCATCATCTCCTTAGCATAACTCAGCTGTGATCAAAAGGGGCTCTTTACGAATAACAAAAAAACACTCCTATCACTCAGGGAATTCCAAGGGTTTTAAGAGCCCGATGCTAGAAATCTGTGACAAAGTCAAATATGCTTTGAGGTATTTTATACCTCGGAGTTACAAAAAGAAGCAGTAACTAGGAGCATGGAGGGAGGTAAGGGAGGTGAATGAGAGACACCTTTCATCCCACACCATTGCCGAGATTAACCCCCTAACCTTCTGCTCTTAGGAAGATGCTCTATGGACCACTGATCTGAGGAGATGGACTCTTTCTGAGTTTTTAAACACCATCAGAATGTTGTTCTCAAGCCCAAGGAATAGAACCATGAAAAACAGTAGAAAGCCACAAAACAAGAGTCAACTATTTTCTAGTTTCTCTCTGATTTGCTGGATGTTTTCAATGATAAGGTAGAGTAAACCAATGAAGCACATAAGCCATGGAGAAATTTATTATTAAAAAAAGTTTTGGAAGGGGATAGATCTGGAGTCTGAACAAAAATTGAGTTTAATGTCACCCTTCCATTCCATCATCATATTGGTTTTCTTCCAGGGCCTTCTTGAAAGTGACCACAGAATGGCTGCCACTGTTCTGGACATCACATCAACAGGCCCTCCTGAGCCAGAAGCATGAGACAAGCAGAAAATGTGACTCATTCACATGCTTCTTTCATTTTACCACAAAGGGAAACCTAGTCCAGAGTCTCTTCAGGACCTCTTCTTGTCTTTCATTGCCAGAGCATGCCATCTCTAGACCAATCAATGGCCAAGAAATAACAAAAATACCAATACATAAAAATAAAGGTCAGGGACAGTGGCTCACACCTGTAGTCCCAGCATTTTGGGAGGCCGAGGCGGGAGGATTGCTTGAGCTCAGGAGTTCAAGACCAGCCTGGGCAATATAGTGAGACCCCATATCTAAAAATATATATATATTGGCTGGGTGTGGTGGTGTGCTCCTGTAATTCCAGCTACTCAGGAGGCTGAAGTGGGAGGACTGCTTTGTCAGGGAGGTGGAGGCTGCAGTGAGCCATAATGATGCCACTGCCCTCGAGCCTGGGTAACGAGCAAAACCTTATCTCAATAAATAAATAAATAAATAAATAAAGATAAAGAAGTTGCTCATATTGGCTTAGGCCAATCATGATTGATTTCCTAGGACAGCAATTTCCAGGCACATTGCTACCTGCCACCTGATTAAAATGAAATGTACTTATCAGTATACTAAAGGGTGGTGGGTATTGCACGGGTGAGGCCTCTGAAGAGTTGCTCCCTTGCTGGCTCCTGCAGACATAGAGCTTAAACAGACATGTGCTCTACCCTGGAGATGCCAACTACCCAGGTAAAGAGATGAGAGAGTCACTCTGCTATGACTAAGCATAGTCTTATGCAGCCTTTGTGCACAATGGTGTCCTCTGCCATTTCCCTAAGCAGTCACAGTAGAGTGGGGGTATACAGTGATAGACAGATACCTGGTTCATTATGAGATTTCCCAAAAGGAACAACTAACTGAGACTGAAAGGGTCCAGGGTCACTTCCAAGTGCAATGCAGCTAACATCCGGGATGAGTCTTAAAGACTCAGATAAAGAAAAAAAAAAAAAAAAATTCCAGGCAGAGGAGAGTGAAAGCACACAGAAAAGGGTCAAGAAATAGCAGGTTACCTGTGGTTATTGGAGCATAGATGGTGAGGCAGACAGCAATAAACGCTGAGTGTGTACCAAGTGGCAGAGGCCATCTGTTGGAGGGTCTTGAATGCTACAAGAAGGACTTGAAATCTCTTCATAAATACATGAAAAGCCATTTAAGCAGGAAAGTGACTTGTCAGGTGTGTGCTTCTGAAAAATATTGTTCTGTAGTCCTGCAAAGGGATGGCTTTGAGAATGTTTCTAATTGTAGACAGAGATGTTAGAATGGAGAATGTTGCCAGAGATCAAGGTGAGGTTCTTGAAGAGTTACCCAGGGCAGGAATAGTGTGATCAAGAGGAGGGGTAGCTTAGAGAGATTGTCCAGGCTTAGTAGACCAGCCTCGGAGAGTGGACGGCTATGGGGAATGGGGAAGAATGAGTGCTCTTTATAAATTCCACATTCCTAAAGTTACTATTGCTGCATCTGCTACAGTCTGAATGGTTGTTTCTCCCCTCCCCGGCTTGTATGGGAAATCCTAACCCCCAGGTTATAGTATTAAAAGGCGGGACCATAGGGAGGATTAGAGCGTGATGGTTGCACCCTCAAAAATAGGATTAGTGCCTTTATAAGAAAGCCTTGAGGGAGTTTGTCTGTCTCTTCCACCATATGAGGACATATGGAAGGCGCTGTCTGAGTAATGGGCCCTCATCAGACATGGAATCTGTCGGTGCCCTAACCTTGGTCTGTCTTTCTTTCTTCCTTTCTTCCTTTCTTCCTT